TTTGTCATGTGGACAGGGAGGGGAGTGGATACTGGGAGAAATTTCAGTGATGTAAAAAAGTCATATATAAAAATTTATTTAAAAAAAAGAAAAAAAAACAAAGCATAGTCTAGGTCAAACATGACCAAAATTTATTTGTATTTTTTTAGGTCACCCAATTTAAGGATACAAGAATTTTTCAGGGTGACTTGTTAACTGTTAAAATAGATTGGGAAATATAGTATACTGATTTTCTTCATGGAAATGTAAAGAGTGCTGGATTGGGAGTCACGATCTGGATTTGAATGCTTGTTCTGGCATGCTCTACCTATTTGAACTTGATTACTTCATCTCTCTGAGTTTGTTTCCTCACCTTTAAAAATGAGGGAATGTTGGGGCAGCTAGGTGGTGCAGTAGATAGAGCACCAGCCCTGAAGTCAGGAGGACCTGAGTTCAAATGCGGCCTTGGACCAAACACTTGACACTTACTAGCTGTGTGACCCTGGGCAAGTCACTTAACCCCAATTGACTAAATAAATAAATAAATGAATAAAAATAAAGAATGAGGGAATGTGATCAGAGAGCCTTTAAGTCCCCTACTTTTAAGTCCCTTGAATTTGAAATCTAGGAAAATATTATAACTAATATGTAGAAATTTGCTGTGAAGCAACTAGAAAAAAATTTGTTGCTTTATCAAGTGTATCTTCTTACAGATAGTAATTAAGTGAATGTATTAGCCCTTCACTCCATGTATAGACAGACTACATATTCATGTGTTTATATTACATTGGTGTATATCTAAATATAGAAATAAGTTGTAGTAAATCACACATACACACACACACACACACACACCCCTATCTTTGATTTCCCAGATAACAAGATGCTGGTGTGTGAACTCCTTGTACCAAAGGAAATCTGTGACTTTATAGGTAAAATCCTAGGGAGTTTGTCTTCAAGCAAAAGTTTAGTGCCATACCAATGACCCACGTTTCATTGACTCTAAGCCAAGTCCACCATTCCATAATGCTTTTTTTTGCTTCACTTCATCCTAGGAAAAGTACCATGTTTAGATTTTCTCACTCCCCCACCCCCCAATTACACTATTTTTCTTAGGGTATTGTGAAGTATTTAGAGACAGCTTTGCTTAGTATATAGTGTACTGGGCTTGAAGTAAGGAAGATCTGGGTTCACGTCCTGTGTCTAATGCTTGCTAGGTGTTTTAGCTATGCTTGCTAAAATTCCCTGTGTCCCAGTCAGCCCTCCAGTCATAGATGGCTTTCCACACCTAGAATTCCCCACACTGATGAATCACAGATCCTTCCCTTATTTTCCCATTTTATATGATGCTAACAGCACATAAATCTTTTTAAACATGTAGTTCTCACTTCCTTTTCAAACACATAGAATATACCATTTTTGGAAGTTTGTTAGAGAGATCTCACGGCTCAGATATTACTAAGAGGTTATATATTAATCCTTAAAAGTTAAAATGATGATGCTGGTATTGGTTGCATTAGATATATTTTTTCATAATCAGCAGTACTTCATAGTTTTTCCCTCAGAAAAAGTTTTCCAGATTTAAAAGAGAGCTTTGAAAGGACAGACATTTTGTTTACGGTATTTCTGTGTTGAGTAAGGAAAATAAATCAATCTCCTCTTCAATCTTATTTGTTCATTTCCTGTAATTCCCACCCTCCCACCCCCAATATGATCATATTACTAAGATGGTAATCACCATATACATTTTTTAATACGTAAAAATGAAGACTGTGTAACCTCACAGGACTTAAACCATGACAGGTACACATGAGCAGACATTGTAACTCTAAAATTATCTGTATCTAATAGTCTTTTGACTTTATATTTGTGAATTTTCTATTATTGAGATTATCAAATGGGACATGAGCATATTTTCATCGAAAATATATAACTGACATAGTCCATTTTTCTGTTCAGGTTTTTAGATCTCTTGACATCTGTAACCTTTAAGAAAAAAGAAATATATAGCATTAGTCATACTTTCTAATATTGTGAAATCTCAGAGTCAATGCTTATTGGTATCATATACCAAGAAATTGATCATACATAATCTAGTTATAGCCATCAAACATTTGTATCAGATTGTATTCTTAAACAAAATCAATGTTTTGAGGCCATCTTTGTTCTCTTTCTAAATTTATATACTTCTGAACCTCTAGTTATATAGTTTATTGAAGCAGGTTCATTTAATAATTAAAAGGACAAAACTCAAATAAAAAACCAGTTCTTATTTAAGCCTAATATGTAATACCATATATAATCAATATGCTGAATATTGAAGCTATGCTGTTCCTTCTACCAATGTTTCTTTTTCCTGCTTTGTAAAATAAATTTTTGGGTTCAGAATCTTTTTTCTAGACATTCCTATCCTTGACTTTTCTTTCCAGATTTTGTTTCCTATCCTGTTTGCCATGTTTCCCTTCTTACGTGTCAGGAAATTACCCTACCCTTCTCCATTTTGGTAAGATGCTATTCTATTAAAAAAAAATGGTATACTCAGTAGAAATAGGTATGTGGAGACTTGTCTTTTTATGAAATTAATGTCTATCATTGTTTATGCTAACATTTTTGGTTTTCATGAAAAAACCAAATCTCTTTGGAAACATTTCTATAAGTAGACAGAAAACATTATGTCAAATAATTTTCAAACATCTATAAATCTTGACAGTCTTGAAATCATAGAAAGTTTCTAGTCAGTGTTCCTTAAACATTGTATGTTGTATTTTGACTTACTTTTTACCTTGTCTTCCTGAGTAGCCAAACAGAAATTTAGGTTATTTGAAAGTAATTGAGTGATTGATATTAGCAATATTATGGACAACCTAATTCAAGCTGTTGTTACTCATAAACAAAATTTAAAGATTTAAATATTTTAAAGGATTTTTTAAAAAGGATTTTATTTAAATGATATGTTTAAGGATTTAAATATATGATAGTGTGCTCTCATTAAGTATTTCATGAGTTTAGGGTGTACGTTAAAAAAAAAAAACTAACCCAAGAACAAGGAAGTTGCTAAGTTAAGACTGTTCAGCTATAGAGAGAGCTCGAGTATTATTGTTATTATTAGTTGTTGGTTATGTGAAAATGTTTTTTCATGAGTGTGGTGTGGAATGTTAAAAATTCATCTTATTTTTTGTTTGTCCTTACATTTTTCCCTCCTTTATCTTTTACCTTTGATTTCTTTCTTTTTATTGCTTAAATATACATTCAAAAATAATACCTACAAATCCAAAATGACTGATTGTAGTAGTTATTATGGTTTTACTTAACAAAAAATGTTTAGCAGTAGCAAAAGCAGACTTCTGCATTCAAAATAGAGAAAATACTTTCTTTTTACATGTAGCATCTCTATTTGGCAATGAAATTTATAAATATAAATGTTTATATGTACATCTTGACCGGAAATTTTTTTAAAAAATTATTTGATGATAAATACCCCTATAAATTGCTATTCGTTTTTTTACAGTATGTGTAGTCTTATGGCATATGATTTCTTACATCTGAATGCAGACAATTATCAAAAGAATCAAAACAAAAGTATAAGGAGATATTAAAGTGCCTATTTAGTAATATTAATATAACAGAAAGAGGTACCCAGGATGGAAAACACAAAATAGTCAGAATATGAACTTGGAAAAGTGATAAATATTATTCAAATGAAAAGTATTACTGTTATTGTAAAATGGCATTGTTAGATAGTGTGTTTCCCTCAACCCTTCTACATTCTTCATTCCTCCCAGACACACAAAAAATGTTGAGAGCTAAAGTAGGCGATGGATATTGGGTTAAAATGCAATAAATTATTAGAATACTTTAGAAAAATGAAATTAAATATATAGAACAAATGAAACATCTAATAAAAAAAATTACCAAAGTTTGTGGTAAATGTTACCTGGGGTTTGGGGTGGGGCTAAAGAGAGAGGGCATGGATCAAGATCTGAGAGAACCCAAAGCTATCTGTTGCATTATGAGACAGCTTAGCTCTGGGTCATGTGGATTGGGAAAGTCTAGAAGGATATACAGAGTAATCCATACTAGAATGACCCAGGGTTCCCTCAGGATCTTCTCCCAACTTTAATATGAAGCATGAGTAAAGTCTTCCATATCAGAGGTGAACCATAGGAAAAACAGGCACCTGCAGAATGAGGTTAAGCTTCACCAGCTTTAATAGTAACAAATAAGATGATGTTCTCTATTGCCTTTTCCATATTCTCCTTGTTTTGGGATTTCAGACCCTTGGGTATAGTAATATAGCAAATATAGCAATAAGTAAAACTAATGATACTTTTAAGCAATTGCTCAATGAATTTACAATCTAAGTTGAGAGTTTAGTTATAACCTTAGCTGTATCAGACTGAGCAGAATAGAACAACTTAGGCTTTTTCTTTGTACTGAGAAAGAATTTTATGTGAAAGTACATTGTTATACATAACTGAATTCATAAGTGTCATCATAAAGTTATGACTTGATATTTTAGATGGGTTTCATGTATCCATATTTTCCTTTGTTTTGAGATATATGGCAGTTAATGCTTCACTTTAAAAAGTAACCCATGATTTTTTGTGTGTATTTTTGTTTTTGTGTTTGTCTTTTGTTTTTACAAAATAAAGATTTAAGATGTTCCAGATTTTTTCATGCTACTATTTCTAAGTAGCTATGATTCCATATTTACATGATTTGTTCTGTATCTATCTTTTTCCCAAAAAGTACTTTTTTGAAGACTGCTTCTGTACATGAACTTTATATTATCTTAACTAGAAAATCATGTTTGGGTTGAATAATATCAGAGATTCAACTTGTTTTTAGAGATTATTTTGTTTTCCAAATGCGTATGAAAAATATAGTACAACTTTGTGAGTCATTAAATGCAATGTTGTACTTTTAGTTTATAGTTTTGGAAAACATTTCATTTGCTTTTTACTAATTTGATTTTATGTCTAGTAAGATAAATGATGTACATATTTATTTTCATCCTCTAGATATTGTAAATTTTGATGACATAGCTTCCTCCGAAAACCTTTTACATCTTACTGCAAATAGACCGAAGATGCCTGGAAGGAGGTTACCTGGTCGCTTCAATGGAGGTCATAGTGTGAGTTATTTACTGCGTTTAAACAGCAAATTGCTTAGAAAATGTGAAAGGGACAAAAGCAATCAGAAAGAATTCCTTCTACTATAGTCTGCCCCTCAGCATTTACCCCCACTCTCATCTCCCCCCAAAAAAGCCCTGAGCCAGTTACACCCATGTGAGCAATGGGACCCAGAAACTTGTGTGTTGAAGGAAGCAAAGCAAGAGTGAGAAGTGATCTAGTTGTGGTATAATGAGTGAAGCGCTAGTTTTGGAGTCAGGCTATCTAAATTTGAATACAAATTTGATGAAGTAATTATGACTTAGGTTAAGTTGCCGAACTTTTTAGTTACTTTTTCCTCAGTTTCCTTATTTTTAAAATGGAAATAATGCATGCACTATTTACCTTCACAAGTTTATTGTAAGGATTAAATAGCATAATGTGTGTAAGGCACTTTGTAAGCCTTAAAGCACCAAATAGATGAATGTTGTTATTTCATTTTTCTTATCTTTCCCATTGCCATCATTCTATTTTTCCTTTATGTTAAAAGTTATACGTATAGGTTTGGCAGACTCTGCAGGTGGATAAAATAACCAGCTGCTTTGTGTAGTTGAATAAAAGTATTGAAATATAAATTCATTTTTGAGAGACTTCTCCAGCGGCATTTATGTAGCATTATTGTCTTCATGATCATCATGATTGTCATTCCATTTCCAATAGTCTAGGATGAACTCAAGAGTTGGGGAAGCTTTCCTAAAGGTGAATGTATCCATAATTCTTATACCATCAGAAAGTCTTAGGACCGAGAAAAAGGAGTAAGAAGTCTGCTCTGTACATTTAGCTTTAAAGAATATTCTTTCTGATTCAGAACTTCTGGTAATATGCGTAATACCCATTTTGCTTTGAGCTTTAAAAACAGTCAATTCAACTTTGTTCCCTCAGAACAAAGTGAGAAAGAAGCACTGTTCCTGAAAACTTCCATGATATGTATGTGGGGTGTAGCTTTAATGTTAAGGTGCCATTTCTTTGCTGTTTCCTTATAGTTCTGAATCTTATGATCATTTGAAAATAACCTACTCATTTCATATAATAATAGCTTGCATTTTTATAGCTCCTTTATACATTTTAATACATGATATAATCACTTTACTAAACAACCTTATGAGGTAAATGGTGTGACTGTTACCCCCATTTTACAGATAAGGAAACTGAGGGTAATAGAAGTGAAATGACTTGCACAACATTAGACATCTAGAAATTGTTGAAAATTGGATTCAAATCTACATCTCCCTATTTTTAGGCCATTGTTCTCTCCACTACACTTGGGTTAATGTAATAGCTGGACATCATTTCACTGAGTGAATACATCATCATCATCATCAAAAAGATCTTAATCATTAAAGAAATCTGTATAAACTGCCTTTTTTTGATTTGGCTGCTAAGTCCATTGAAAGTCCCAGGCTGCTTCCTGCCTCTTCTAGGACCATTTAGAGCCTTTCTTCCTTGGGAAACATCTCATGCCCAGTTGACTTTATGCTGATCTATTTGTAGTCTCCTATCTTGTTTGTTTATGTATATATAAAATATGTTCTTTATCACTGTATTTGCTTGAAAGTGTGTAATTGGAGAAGCTCATAGTCATCAGGAACCAGCTTATTTTTAGCTTCAAGATAGATACATAATTGGTTTAGTATAGCTAGTTTATGCATTTAACACCAATGAAACAAGAATTGTAACAATTAAGTTGAGAACAAATGTTCTTCTTGGAGGAATGGTGGTGTTCAAGGGCCTGCTGCCTTTTTCTTTTCTTTTATGCCCCTATAATCAAGTTTCCTTTTAATTCTGTAGCCAATTCAAAGTCCAGAAAAAGTCTTGAAGTTTCAGAAAGGTGAGGAAGAAAGTGCCAAATTAAAGACAAATGAAATTAAAAAGGTAAGCTGCTATTGTTTAAAAGGTAGTCGTTATGCTCGATCAACATTGTCATAGTTTCTGGGATTTGGTAGCAGGGTAAGAGTCAGGACAGTTATAAAATCTGAAGGCTGAAAAATAGAGCCTTAATCTTTTAAAGAAAATCATTCCCTCTCATCTTCCTCAGTAACCCCTGTTTTTATGCTCCTACATCCTGCCTTTGGTGAGGGGTGTCCCCATCTATGATTTCATCAGTATAGGAGAGGGCTTCAAGTAAGAAACTCTCTTCTAGTGCATGTTGACAGCTACAGCCACTAGTCTTGAGGTTACCTGGAGTACTGAGAACGTGAGTGAGTGTCGAGAGTCACAGAGCTATTATGTGTCAGAAACAGGACTTGAAGCCAGATTATCTTGATACTAAGGCTAATCTTTTATTCCCTGTACCTTGTTACCTCATTGGTCCCTATCCTCTCTAGGTTTTTAGGACACCACTTTCTCCTACCTCTCTGACTACTCCTTCTCTGTCTCTTTTGCTGGACCCTCTTCCAGATCACAACCTCTAACTGTAGGTATTTCTCAGGATTCTGTCCTAGGCCTTCTTCTTTTCTCTCTCTATATTACTACACTTGGTGATCTCATTAGTTCTTGTGGATTTAATTACCATCTCTATGTAATGATTCTTACATTTACCTATCCCAGTTCAAATTCTGCTGACTTCATCTCATATCTTTAACTGCCTTTCAGACTTCTTGAACTTGATGCCCAGTAGATATGTAAACTCAAGATGTCTAAAATGGAACTCATCATCTTTCCCACTAAACCTCTCTGTAGAGGACAGCATAATCTACCCAGTCCCTGAGGCTCCCAACCCAAGTCATCCTGGATTCTTCACTATTTCTCTCCTTCTTCCTGCCCTCATGCCCCCAATATCCAAGCTATTCTCAAGGCTTGTTGACTTTGCTTTTGTGACATCTCTTGAATACATTCCCTTCTCTCCTCTGGCACTGCCACCACTCTAGTATAGGCCTTTATCACCTCATGCCTGGATTATTGCAGTAGCCACCTGGTAGGCTAGCCCCTGCCTAAAGTTTCTCCCCATTCCAGTTCATCCTCCATTCAGCTACTTAAAGAGATTTTCTAAAAACACAAGGCTGATCGTGTTTACTCAGTAAACTCTAATGACTCCTATTGTCCCCAGGAGCAAATACAAAATACTGTAATTGGCATTCATAGCCCTTTCTAGTCTATCCTCCTACCTTTCCAGTCTTCACATCTACTTTTTGATGCAGTGACACTGGCCTCCTGGTTGTTCCATGAACAAGAAACTACCTCTTAGCTCTGGGTATTTTCTCTGACTGTCTCCCATGTCTGATATGCTCTCCCTTCTCCAATCCAACTGACTTCCATGACTTCCTTTATATCCCAACTAAAATCCCATCTTTTACTGGAAGCTTTCCCCAAACCCTCTTAATTCTAATGGTTTCCTTCCATTAATTATTTTGTATTTATCCTATGTATAGCTTGCTTCGGATATATTTATTTACATGTTGTCTCCATTAGATTTTAAGCTCCTTGAACATAGTAACTGTCTTTTGCCACTTTTTGTATCCCTGACCTCTAAGCACAGCTCCTGACACATAGTAGGCACTTAATAAATGTTTATGGTTGATCAATTTATTGATTGATTATCCTGTAGTGCATTGTATAGGGTGAAATAGCTTAAATATAAATTGTGACTTAATAGTGAAGGGTCTAAGGAAATATTTAACCAATTCATTCTCAAAATACTACAAAAATAGAATAGTATTAATTAGTAGTCACACTACATATGTATATGCCTTCATTATAGTATTGTTATTCACTAATTGATATTATGAATATTTTGTATATTTTCTAAATCATGGAGGTTTACATGTTCAGATATATAGAACATAAGGAAATTGTAAAACTTAATTCTGATAGGGAAATATTCTGCTAAATAATGATAATAATATCTGGTGTTTATGTAGTGCTTACAGATATTATCTCATTTGATCCTCACAATAGCTTGGTGGGGTAGGTACTATTACTATCCCTATTTTACAAATGAGAGAAACCAAGGAAGACAGAGGATCAGTGACATTCCCAGGGTCATTCAGTTAGTAAGTCTCAGATGCTTTATTTGAACTTGTCTTTCTAAATCCAGTGCCAGCACTTTATCCACTGAACCACTTAGCTGTATCTAAATAAATTAAAGCAGGGAATCATTTGCAAAGAGAAAAGCAAGAATGAGGACTAAGCTATACGATAAAGGATGCCCTTTGACCTGTGCTGCTGAAGATTATTTTCATGATAGGTACATCTTGTTTTTCATAATTGATGATATTACTAGAAAGTTGTTTGTAAGGAGAATCATATTAAGTGCTATAAAAACATCTTTTTAAAAAACAGAAACCTTTTCTTCATGTAATTAGCTTTTTAATCCCTTCAATGATCTTTGATTTTCTTCTTCCAACCCACTCTATTTATTCCCTGTCTTAAGTATTATAACCAGTTAAGAGACAGCTAAGTGATAGAGTGCTGGACCTGGAGTTACTAAGATCTGAGTTCAAATATGGCCTCAGGCACTAGCTGTGTGACTCTAGACAAGCCACTTAACCTTTGTCTGCCTCAGTTTCCTTTAATGTAAAATGGGTCTAATAATTGTACCTACCTCCCAGGATTGTAGTAAAGATGAAATGAGATAATGCTTTGCAAACCTTAAAGCACAATGTGGAAATATGTTTAATATGAGTGGACATGTATAGTTTATATCAGTTGCCTGCCATCTTTGGGAGGGGGAAGGAGAGAGGGAAGGAGGGAGAAAAAAATTTGGAACTCAAAATCTTATAAAAGTGAATGTTGAAAACTGTCTTTACATGTAATTGGAAAAAAAATAAAATACTGTTAAGTAGAAAAAAATAAAAGAAACTAAACTGAAGCCTTAGAGCATCATATTAATGCTAACTAATATTATTAACCAGAATACATATCTTCCATTTGTGAAATAACTCAGAATATTAAATTACTCATTTATAACAATGTCATCCTCCAATTATCTGCAAGGAACTTTATCATAGAAAATGTATTAACTATCCAGCTTTTCAGAGATATTTTCCTTTTCCTCCCTTTATAATAATATTTTATAGATGCTTTTTGATTTTACATCGCAGTCATTTCCAGATCTAACTGCATTACCACTCATTGAACCTTCTCTTATAATAGAAAAAATCAAGGTAAAATCAACCAAGAGAGCCAACAGTCCTAAAATTTAGTACACAGAACTTAACAGGATTCCTCATGTGCTCTGATGAAGCCATATTATAGCAAGATTTTAATTTTGGTCACTGTGCTTTTCTTAATGTAGCCACAGATCACAGGAGCTTTTTTGAACTGCCATATTGCACTGTTGACTCATTGAACTTACCATATACTAAAACCCTCTTATCTTTTTCATACAAATAGCTCTTTTTCCATACCTTCCTTATTTTGTATTTGTGAAGGTGATTACTTGAAATCTGTTATAAGGCTTGGCATTTTCCCCCTATAAATGTTGTATTAGTCAGTTCAACATTCTCCTTTGGGTTCTTTTTGGATCCTGTTTCTATTGACTCCATCCAATATGTTACTTATCTCTCATAGCTGGGGGACTAAATTAATAAAAATATTATTTTGTTCTTATCCAAACTAGTGACAAAAATGTTAAACTCTACAATGCCAAGGATAGATAGCTAGGACATTCCTCTAGAGACCATTTTCCATGTTAACATGGATCTAGTAATTACTCTTTGTGATAACCCATCATTCAGCCATTTCCCACATCATCCAGTTGTACTGTTGCCTAGCTGATATCTCCCTGTCTCATCTATGAAAATATCATGATGGACTTAGCCAATGCTTTGCTGAAATCAACATAAGCTATTTCTACCTGTCAAAAAAGAAAATGTAATTAGCCTTCTCTTCTAGAGTTCTCTTCATTATCTTTTTTCTTCCCATTCACCTTCAACGGGAGTCCTCTTCCTTTTTAAAAATTAGACAGTTAATTTTTTTCCATAGTTGAAAACAAAAGAAAACAAAACAACTACCCCACCCCACCCCCAAACAAAATCTTGTTATTATCTTCACCAGCCTCAGCTCATTCTACCTTCCATTTAAAACCCTCTACAATTTGACTTCATGTTTTCTTTTATATTATTCCCATGAACATACTCTCTGTTCCAGTCAAATTGACATTTTAGCATTCCTCACATACAATAACCCATCTCTTCCCTCCTTGCCTTTATTTACATAGGCTCCCAAAAGCCCCCTTTTCCCTCTAGTCTGGAATGCTCTCTTTCTTCTCACTTTTGTGTCTATGAATCCTTAGCTTCCTTCAAAACAATTTAGGCGTGACTTCTTCAATTCATCTTTCCCGATCCTCCCCAGTTGTTAGTCCTTTCTCCCTCTTGAAATTGATATATTTTTGCATTTACTTTGCTGCATATATCTATCATCCCAATCATAAGCTTGCTGAGGGCAGAAACTATCTTTGAATCACTAACACTTAACATAATGTAATATGTATAGTAAGCCCGTAATATGTTTGTTGAATTGAATTCTGAGCTTTAACACTCCCATTACTATTCATACAAGGTCATGGTGTAATTTTTGTCTTCATTTTGTTACTTGCTCTTATTTCCATCTGTGAACAGCTTTTTAATGTCTTAGTTTTATCAGTAACCTTTCTGTGGACCTCCGTCATTTCTTTAAACAACTTCCTCCTTTCAGAGTTAGCTTACTGCTTTCTACATGGTTTTTAAACTTGTTACTGTACAATATAGTTTTGCTGTATATCTGTTTTTTTCCTTTTCAGGCATCAGTGTACAGCACAACATCTTCAACTGCATCTCCTAGAACAACTTTCCCCAATTCAGTAGATGCCAAAACAAAAGGAGAAATTGATGATGGGAAGAAAAACATCCTAGATGACCTCAGAACACAGGTTGTTGAGTTATTGTGTGTTGTAGAAGCAATCAAAAAGGAACATGGGTAAGTCTTGCTTTTTCTCTTTGAGTATTACTTAATTCATGGTATATCAGAGCTAGAAGGGATATTAGAGAATTAATGATCTATTAAGAGAACATGTACATAATTCATTACGTATTCAAAACATTTCTTTCTGATGCTACTTTATAGCAACAGAACTTTAAAACAAAACTTGTTTTGGTTATCTGTAGGTTTGATACAGATGTATCAAAGAATCAGTGATTAAATGTGCTTTTGTAGGGAATAGAAAATTTAAACAGTGATAAACCTACTTCTGTAGATAGCTATAATCCTTTTGGGAAAATAGTTTTCAGTAGTCTTTTTATAGACAGGAGACATGTTTATCCATCCGTTAAGACTGTGTTCTCTAAAACGTATAGTAAATGTTAATTATAGATTTAGAAGTCTTACTTTCCCCTGGAGTTAAAATAATGCAACCCTTATACTTATTAAAGTTTCTTACTCATTACTTTTCATAAGGTATATTGAGAGCATTCTCTTCTGGTGTGCATTGTAAAACTACCTCAGAATGTAATATTGCTTCTTTGTGATAATTTTTCATTGTCCTGCTCTCCAAGGAAAGACTGTGTAGTTGAAAAACAGCATGTTTAAAAAGCCACAACATTTGTAGTATAAACCATGCACTACTAATTTGTAAAGTGGGCTGGGCATGCAGTAGTTTAATAAATGCTTGCTCCTTGCTGGCTGATACTCATAGGAAATATTTCTTATCTGGAATAGCAAAAGTATATATATATTTTTAACCTATTTGGCTTCTTGAGTCAAAAATCTTTGTTCTTAGTAAAATCTGGCCAGGCCTAGTGACCCATGTGGCAGGTTGAGGATAGGGGATCTCTTGGGTTCAGGAGTTATGAGTTGCCCTAAGATTAAAGCCAATCAGGTGTCTACAGTAAATCTAGTACCAATGTGGTACTAGATGTGGTAAGCTCACATGAATCAGTGGCCAGTAGGCTGCTTAAGAATGGCAAATGGGCCCAAGTCAGAGACCAAGTAGATCAAAGCTTCTGTGCAAACCAGCAGGAAGGACAGGCCTGTGAGTGGCTGCTGAGCTCTCAGCCTCGGTGAGATAAGGAGAGCCAGCATTAAATCAGTAAATTCAGGCCGTTTTTATTATCTCAGGAACAACCAACATAATGTATGTACTCATCATACTTCAGGGATCTGTAATTTCATCTGTATAGATATTTGTCCTCTACCAATAGTTTGTATTCCCAACACTTTAAAAAATATTCATAATTAGTTTTGGTAACTGAAAAGATTCTTCACCTGATGATGAGCCTCTTCCATCTGAGCTAGACAGGCCCTGGTAAGACAGGCATCGAGTCCATTACTATTCTGTCTTCAAAGGCTTTCCAGCTTGTTGTAATATGCCAAAGTTTATGTGCATAGCATAGCTTTCAAAAACCCAGTGTTAGCCTGCACTGAACTGAGGTATTAGACTTGAGTGGAAGGTGCAGGATGCATCCATAAATGTGTAAGGATTGGTAGTTGTATGAGATTTTCCTTTATGCAACTTAGTTGAAGCTACAATTATATTTTGTTCCTTTTTACAGTACTGTATTTAAGTCCATTTGAGTTGTAGTTTTTCTTTAAAAAATGATTAATATTGGATGTATTACTACTATAAAGAAGTACTTATTTTAGACCTCGAGAAGTAACTTCCTCCCAGTTAAAAATCTGCCTTAGCATGGTAGATGGATTGATGGCATGAGGTTTTATTAAACTCTGCATTAAATTCTACTAGTATTTACAGAGTTAAGTCTGGCAGGTCAGTACAAGAAGACTATATTAGTTGAATTTATGGACTTCATTCAAAGCTTCCTGAGAATTTTTTTTTTACTTTTTAAAATTTATTTTTATTATTAAAAAGTTTGTTCACATTTTTTTATATTTTTTTCTTTGGTGTTAATTTTGCTGATGTTTAACTATTTGAACTTTGGCTTCTTGAGGCAAAAATCTTTGTTCTTAATAAAATCTGGCTAGACCTGGTGACACATGTGGCAGGTTGGTTTAAGGCCTGCTATCTAGGTAGTGTCTTTATTATGTGAGGCAAATGATCATGTGTTTAAAGTTTAAAATGTGTGCATATCAACACATGGCCATTTTCATTTCTACATACACCTAAAAAATTATTTTTGTGTTTTAGGAAGGAACTGGAAAAACTAAGAAAAGAATTGGAAGAGGAGAAGGCAATTAGAAGTAACCTAGAGGTAATTCAGTTCTGCAGTATTTTGTCATCATAAAGCATCAAAATGAAAATATTAGTGGGTACTAAACATAATGAGTATCTACACTGTGTAGAATGTGGTACTTTATACTGTTTAAAGAGGGGTGCTTGTTTCATTTTTTAAAATTTTAAAGGGAGAGAGGCAGAGGCAATTTGGCATAGTGGATAGACAGCCCACCTTTGATACTTACTGACTGTGTGACCCTGGACAAGTTATTTCGCAATGCTTCAGACATCTCTCAAGACTATAAATTGAAAATCAGTTGCCTGTTTGAATTGGTGGAGGGAATTTTTTGATTGGGAATCCACTATACCAGTAAAATCAAGTGGGAGAAGGAGGAGAGAAGAGGAAAAAAATGTCGTGGAAAAATGTGGTCCTGTCCTCCAATAAATTATATCCTAGTTAGGAAACAGAATATATGTATGGGGGAAAAAATTGTTTTCTGTAAATTTATTTCATGTTTTCAAGTGCTAAGTCCTGCCATATTTTCCTTCATTGCAAAGTGATGGACAGTTACAATAGGTTTTAGTTCTTTCTTCCACTCTCTTCCCATCCAATGTATCCTTCCCAGTGTTGCTAAACTAGTCTTCCTTATACATATATCTGGTCATTATTCTTTTGCTAAAAACCTTTCAGTGGTTCCCTGTTTCTTGGCAAGTAAAGTTCTGAAAACTTATCTTAGCATTCACAGGAGTCTAATGAACTTTGCAGCCGTATTTCATAATGAATCACCTTCTCATACTCTCTACTTCAGCCAAACTGAACTGTCTGCCTTCTCATACATAAATTTCATATTTTTCTGAAGTCTTTTCCTTAAACTCCCCAAATTTCTGTCTATCCTTTCAAGCCCAACTCAGATATCAGCATGGATTTCACATGGTCCTTTGGTTGTACCTGTTATACACTTGTGTATTATTTTTTGTTAGTCATATAATTTTCTGTTTATCATCTATAGAAACTATATACTATACTCTAAGCTGCTTAAGAAACAGGCACTAGGACTTAGCTAAAATTTCTTTTTTGTTGTTTCACTCAGGTCATAGTATGTGCTTGATAAGTTTATTTAACTGAATAGATATAAATAAGTAAAAACTCATTTGGCTTCAAATCTTTTTGTGAGACTATGGAAAAACATGGACTGGGGATTAAAAGCATTAGCAGATTCATGGGGTCCTGAGGTACTTGCTTCATATGTATTAATTTTCTTAACATCCATTTTTCATTTAACTGAGCAGCTGTTTCTAGCAAAGTCAGTTGTAAGGAAAATATAAATATATTAATAAATGATATAATCCTTTCCTGATCCCCCAACTGCTAATATTTTGTTCTTTTTATATTTATGTTTATACTTATGGGTACTTGTTTTCTTCCTTAATAGAATATAAACTTCAAGAATAGATATTATTCCATTCTTTGTATTTGTATCCTCAATACTTAGCATAGTGGCCTGGTCATAAGAGGTACCTTCTCAGTTCTTGTTGATTAATATGAGACTTTTAAAATCATGAACTTAAAAAAATTTTTAAGTTTTTAATATAAAAATAATTCAGCAGATTTTAGGGCACTGTTCTCATAAGGCTTCTAGTTTTATAAGTGAAAAATGATACATTTAAATGATTATAATTCAGTAAAGAGTGTGATAAATACCTTAGGTAAAATAATAGTGCCATAGATATCAGATGAAGGAGAGATCGTTTGTGACTAGTATAATTATACTGAATAGCTCACATTTATATAATGCTTTAAGATTTGTAAAGTGCTTTACATGTGTTATCTCATTTGATCCTTACAACAACCTGATAAGATAGGTGTTAGGATCATTATTTCATAGACCATAAAACTGAGGTTTTAGGATGTTAAGTCATTTGCCTACTGTCCCACAGCAAGTATCTGAGGTAGTCTTCTTCTCTTTAAAGTATTCTATCCACTGCACTACCTACCAGATGCTAATATGGTGATTTATTAAAGTGGCCAAGAAAATACTAAATAATAAGATGGTGAATTACTTAAAAAAAAAAAGACAAAAAGCACTGAATATTAAATTAAATTAAAACCAAAAAGTCCATATGATCATTTGCCTCACATAATAAAGACACTACCTAGATCGCAGGTCTTAAAATTTTAACAGTTGTGCTGCATGTTTTAGCTTCAACCTCTTTAAGATTTTCTAACTTACATACAAAGTAATATATAATAACATATAAACATATTCTATCAGAACACATGCAGTGTTTTCTAGGAATCTTAATAGCTATGTATTTTTTTTTAATTGAAACCCTGTGAGAGGAGATAGCATATAAAGATAAATACTTAAATGTATTACATTTGCTTGTCAGATCTTCCTTCAATGTCTTTATTTAAAATAGTTATCCAATTTCCTTTCATCATTTCCCGGTACTCACCAAGACTCTGGTCGCTCCTAACGACATTGCTTCCCTCCCCACCTTTCTGGTCTGTGCTACATTTCTTTCACCAAATACCCTCGTGTCTCTCTGATCATGTTCAGGAAGTCTATAGAGTGTCATTCACAGACTCTCTCTATCAACTTAACAGAAATAACCTTTCCTCTTTTGACTTTCACACTATTCAAATTTATCACTCAATCCACAGACCAGCGAGCCTTATTTTGACACCCAACCCCCCAGATATTTTTCATTCTTCTTCATTGAATTCTGTGCCCAATTCATAGTCTTTCTTTCCTGGTGACCTCTACGCTGACTTTCCAGTTTTTCATTCTACTCCCACAGAATTGATTCTACCCTTTGATCTGAATGTTACCTGCCAGGGTTCTAAAGAACTTCAACTGCATGAAATCTTCACTTCTTTTTATCCATGCATAACTTTTGATCACTAGGCCTTTTCCTCAGCCATACAACCCTTTACTCTCTCCTTCATCTTCCCCATGGCTTCACCATCTTCACTGTTCCTTCCATTAGTCATTTCTTACCCAGGCCATCATCCTACCCTGTTTTTTCCCTTCAATATATTGAGCCTTTGGTTAACCATCTCATTTCTCCCCTCTCCTCTCAAAACCCTAGGCCTGTTGTCATGTTGCCACCACATCTTACCAAACCCTAGCCATTGATCACTTCACTTTTCTGCCTCTTTGGCTTCTATTCATGGAATAGAGTTGAAGGAAATTAAGAAACTGTATAGACTAGATTCTGTATAAATTAGTTATGTAGCTTCAGCTGGGCTCTCAGTGAAGCAAGGTGAATATTTTTTCCTTCCCTAATCAACTCACACTTCCTGCAGGAAGTGGCTAACTCAAAAAGTTTGAGGGGATCACATGCTTATTCCATTACACACAGTAGGAGCTTTTTTATTGCTTCTTGAGTGACTGTTGACTCCAAGCTTCTCTCTTTATTGAACTAGGATAACATTTACCCTCTGTAAGTATGAAATCTTTGTACAAGTTTTCATTGCCTCCTTACCATAGCACTGGTTCAAATGTGTTTCTTGTTATGTTCATGGGAATTAAACTTCAGGTGTTTTAAGATAATGGAACCTGATAACTACTATGGTCTGTGCTGATTTTTTTGTTGTCGAAAATGTAAAAAGATCAAGATATAAGACTTAGGGATATGACAGAGAAACTTTAATTCAGTGAAGATGCCACTGTTGCTTATGCTCTGTTTTTCCTTTTTAGGTGGAAATAGAAAAGCTGAAAAAACTAGCCCTGTCTACTTGAGGGAGGTGTGACGTAGACTCAGTGTTCTTCTTTGGCCAGGGATTCATAAACGAGAATATGAACTGAAAACTGACTTGTTTACTTCCAAGTAACAAAAGATTTTTGGTGTGCTATAGGAAAAAAATGAGTACATGAGTTTTTATATCTTACAGAAGGGGAAAAATGAAAATTGTATATTTTATTTTATTTTATTTGCCAATATGAAAAAGAGGCCTTATTTCTTACTGTGCTGGAATCGCAAACCTCTTTTTTTTTCTGGTTTGCTTTAAAATACTACTGAATCTGTATAAAAAGGAGAGGAAGTTGGTAATAGATTTTTATTGAATACTGACAGTGTAATTTTTAAAGAGGTCTATACTATAAATAGGTTGATATATCTCCAAGTAACCTGTAAAATAGACTGTGGGAGGGACACATTAGCTTAATAATCACTAACTTGTAATAATTACTTTTCCCATAATGCAAAAGGGACATAGGATATTTGTATGTGTATATATATATATAAAAATATATATATTTTATTTTTAGCTTTCCTACCCAAGATTACACTGTTGTGTCTATATGTCTTCAGTGCTGTTTATCATTTGGGTGACAAAATAAGAATGCGTTCGCTATAAAACAGATGAATCAATCACATGTGCAAATTAAAAATAGCTTATGAAATAGAATAAATTTGATAGCTGAAATATTTCATGCCACTTGCACTATAGGGTTCATAAAAGGAGTTTATTAAACCATATTTCAATCATTAAGTATATTTTCAAATGAATAAGATTTTCTTAAATTGGTCAGAGCTAAGAGGCCAGAAAGCTGTCTTTCAGTTCATTGTGCCTAGAAACTGCAGCACATTTAACATGCAAACACCAGCCTTATTGCTGTATTTCTCTGCTTATTTTATAGATTCAAATATTACCTAGTCTATGGTCTTGTAATTTAATCCTCCCTCTTTTAAAATACCATTAATAAAACAAAATGCAAGTCTTTAGGAAATTTGTCATGAGATCATACTTTCAGAGCAGTCAACTCATCATGTAAATATTCAATTTAAGAAATATTATTTACCTAATTAAACTAAAGAACTTTTTGGAGTTATTTTGAGCTGTTGAGTAGATACTAACTTTATAAAGAATGCTATTTTACTTCACAGACCATAGTGTCACATTTGTTATTAAACCAAATAAGACCCCTTTTCAAAGTTACATTTTCATAAATCACATGGTCAGCAGCTCCTTTTAAATTTGTTAACTTCAACACAGTTTTAAAATGTATGTCAATAATATGTCAGAACCTTCAAATATGGATATAATCCTACTTAGAATTTATGGATTTTACTGGTAACTAATGTCCTTTAACAAACAATGCCGTAGTTTAGGGCTTAGCTCCATTATAACAAATGGCCAGTGTTCCAGTGTATGAAATTACAAGATTTACAGGTTGTGGGGTGGCAGTGTGCCAGAATTTTTTATTTTTTTTTCCTGTTATTTCAACTTAAAACTCAATACAATTTTTTGCTTTACAATTTAATTTTGTACAACTGAAACATTTTTTTCAATGCAGGATAATCAATATACTGATTCATATAGATATGAAATAATGCATAATACTGCATTTGGGGCCGCTGATCTTTGGTTAAATGTGTTGCCTCATTATGAAGGTCACAGATTTCTGTCCCAATAAAATCACCACTAATCAAAATTAGCTACCAGTGTTCCATGTTCATTTTTAAAATGACCAAGCAAATGGAGATTTTTTTTTTGTTTTTGCACCCACACCTTTCCCTGACACACCCCTTCTCCCCTACCTAGTTTTAATGACAGTGTTAAAGGGAAAATTTTTAAGCTCTTTATATTCTAGGAATCATCTTCATTAAAAAGTATATTTAAGGAACTTTTTCCTTTTCCTTCTTAGGAAGAAGTTGAGAAATTAAATATTCTTTCCTTGGTTTGCTGGTAGTTAAGATCATTCTTATGTTGATTATAATGCATCGGAACAACAAACTTTTTTTAAATATGAGATTCGCAAAAAATATATAAGAAAGTCCCTGGTATCTGTTAGCTGCCCTTTCCTTAACTTCCTTCTTGAATAGATAAGGAAAAGAAAAGTAATTGCATTAAATGGTCTCAACTTATCTGTCTCCATTTAAAGAGAAAAATATTCCTTCAGTATGGCAGTTCACCAGTACAGTTTTGGTAAATAACAGGATGTCACTAGAAATTCCTGTTCATGAGAGCTGTATCATCATATTATTTTATGTAGAAATATTATATATAGTAATGTGGAATTTACATTTTGAAAGGGGTGCAATTTTCATGCATTGATTAATTTTTTTTTAAATGTGCCCATAAGCACAAAGCTTTGAGTCAGCTGTGTGATATCTGTAGTGGCCATTAAAATGCTGAATTATCTGAAAATGTAGTGCATATAAGGTGTGCCACAGTTTTTGAAATGTAATGCATTGATTCAGTATTCAGTATCCTTCCTAAAGGCATCAAAAATGAACACTCCCAATTTTAAAAATATTTGTTGTGTCTGTAAATTTTTTTTCTTTAGAAGTATTAAGATTTCTCTCATGATGAAAATAGAAAAATAGGCCTGATGTCATACAAATTTATTTTCTATAGTTCTCACTGTGATTATAGCACAAAGAAATGTGCTCCAAATTATTTTTAAACATTTTGTCCACATGAAAACTTAAAATGAATGAACAGAATAAGACAATCAGTTAAAATTAGAAATAAAAGGTGTTAACAATAATAAAATGGCCTTGTTTTGCTGTAGCAATAAAATGACCAAGTGCAATGACTTGATTTAATAAAATCATCTTTCAAAAGCTGCTGCTATGAGTATTTTTAACCATAAAATGTCCTAATCTAATGTATTCCTCTCTTTTTTACTGTTGTTGCATATTACATTGCGTCTGATGAGTATTCCAACATTCCAAAATGTACTGAGTTCACAAATCAGTGTAAACCTATTGATGTGTTTACAGATAATGTAAAATGCATGTTTTCCCTGGAAAGAAAAAAAATTCAAATAAAATGAAAATACTGCTACTATGTGTATGTCTTTGTTGTTTGAGATATTTTCTACTAATACAATTATATTTGCTTTTGTTTCAGGAAATGGTTGAATATCAATATAATTTATAGCTTTAAATGGTAAATAATATTTGGTGATTCTAAGTTTAAAAGCAGAATACTTAAAAACAGAATTTTTAAAGTTTAAAACAGAATAATATATTCAGTAATGCAGTGATAAGGACTTAAACAGTATCTAGGCCCATAGAAACTGAATTATTGAGTTAGAAGACATGTTCCCCACAACTTTATACCTAATTTTGGATTTAAGTGTTATAATCTTAACTGCACATATGCCCCTCTTCCATTGGTCCATGCTGTCAGTGTGGGTACTCCTCCACCCTTGAAGATTGTAGTCCATCAATATCTTTTTATCCTGTGTGATACTTGATTGTCCATGACTTTCTATAAAACTGGACTGAAGACCTTTCCCCAGATTTTTTAATATTTCATGGATAGTACTGCCACACTTGAACTAAACATCTGTTATCCATCATTCCCTCTGGATGACCCACCCTTCAATTTTCCAGACATGCATATCTTTGATGTCTTTTTTATACTTTTTTTTATATCATTGGTATTATTTTCTGCAGCATCAATAGATCCACCATTCACTTGAACCTTGTTTTTTCAATCACTTCTAATTTTGATTCTGTGATTGATATTCCACAATACATACATACACACACACACACACCAGAATAATATTAGTCTTGAAAAATGGGTTTTGGCATCTTAGAACAAGCAACTTAGGCTCATTGAAAGTGCTACACAATTAGTGTAGAGCACACCAGAAAGGAGACAGGATATTTCGGTATGAGGTGAGCTCTACAGCCTGGGATGAGACAGTTGGACAGATTGACCAGATCATAAAGCCAGCTGGGCATGAGATGTTTCCCAAGGGAGCAGGGCTCTGAATGTTCCTGGGGCAGCCTAGGACTTTTAATGGAGTTGGCAGCCAAATCAAGAAAAGGTAGTTCATACGAATTTCTTTAATGATTAAGAAGATCTTTTTGATGATGATGATGATCTGTTCACTCAGTGAAATGATGTCCAGCTATTATGTTAACCCAAAATGTTAAGTCTTTGTTTTGTAACAGCATGAACTCTAATTTATTTAAACAAAAGACAATATTCCATGCCTTTAAAAGCTTTTGTAAGTCACTCACAATGTTGGAACTTGGTTGGTCAAGAAAGGAAACTACTGTTCACCAGATTTTCTTTTAAAGTGCTACACAATTTTCCAAATGAAATTTAGGCCCCCCTCCCTCAGTTACTGGCCAGTTCACTATCTGCAATACCTGCCCACTATTAACAGTAGGTAAGTGGTATAGTGGATAGAGCTCTAGGCCTAGAGTTAGGAATATCCGAGTTCAAGTTTAGCTTCAGACACTTAACTTTGTGACCCCAAGCTAGTCACTATGCCTGTGTTTGCTCAATTTCCTTATCTGTAAAATGGTGATAATAATAGCACCTACTGCTCAGAGTTGTCATGAAGATCAAATGAAATAATTGTAAAGTGCTTAGCACAGTGCCTGGAATTTAGTAAGTGCTATATATAAATGTTAGCTGCTATTAATTATAATTAGAATGTGCACAATAGTTTAACCAAAATTGTGTGTTAAGTGAAGTTTCTTTGGCTGGTCTTCTGCCTCCTCTTCATCCTTTCTCTCCTCTTCCAATGTGATCTTCCCAAGCTCTCCGGCATCCTTGTGATCTTTAGCTTCTCCCATGAATTCCTGCTTTGAGCAAAGTACAATAAACCTCATAATTCTGTCTGACAAAAGTCAATCCTAATATTAGTTTATTACATGGTGTAAAGAACACAAAAAAGAGAACAGTCCTTTTGTTCAAGCTTGTGGTTTGGTTTTTTAGTAAATATGCACATAAACATGTACAAAATTACAAGTTAATTTTTTATTGTATTTTTTGCAGGAAGAGGCACAAACACAATAGAGATCAGGAAAGGTTTCATGTAGAAAGTGGTGCTTGAGTTGAACTTTAATAGAAACTAGAGTTTCTTTTTTTTTCTTTTTTTTTTCTTTTTAGGCAATTGGGATTAAGTGACCTGCTTAGGGTCACATAGCTGGTAAGTGTTAAGTGTTTGCTCTGAAGTCATATTTGAACTCAGGTCCTCTCAACTTCAGGGCCGGTGCTGTTTGTGCCACCCAGCTGCCCCCAAAACTAGAGTTTCTAAGAGGCGAAGCTAAAGAATTGAGTGCATTCCAGGTATAGAATATAGCCTGGCAAAGTAGAATGGGATGTCAGGTGGAGAACAACAGAAAGATCCACTTGGTTGGACCAAAAAGTGGGTGAAGGCACAGTAATATATAACAAGCCTGGGGTCACCTAGATTGGGTAGTGGATAGAGCACTGGCCCTGAAGCCAGGAGGACCTGAGTTCAAATCTGGCCTCAGATCAAACATTGACACTTAATAGCTGTGTGACCCTAGGCAAGTCACTTAACCCCAATTGCCTAAAAAAAAAATCATAATAAGTCTGGAAAAGTAACTTAAAGAGGGATTATGAAGGATTTTAGATGCTAAATAGAAGTCTTCATTGATCTAAGCATAATTGGGAGCCACTGGGGTTTATTAAATTGGAGGGATATAGTCAGAACTGCGCTTTAAGTAAATTATGTTAGTATCTTTGTGGAGTATGGATTAGAGGAAAAGAGTTGAGATAGAGACCAATAAGAAGTTATTGCAAGAATCCAGTTTAGATGTTATGGCCTGAATTTAGTAGTGGCTGTGTCAGTGGAGAGAAGGAGATGCATGTAAGATATTGTGGGAATAGAATCAGCAAAACTCAATTGATCAGATACAATGTGTGGAATAGTCAGGGATGACTCCAGGGTTACAGACCTGGAAACCAGAAAGCACATAGTAGGTACTATATAAATGCTAGCTATTATTATTATTAAAATAGGATTGTCAGACAAATGGGTTAATTTATAAGTATGGTTTCCTATTAGAGTAATGAACTAAAGTATTTCCACATGAGAAGTGGAGATAAATGTAGAGGCCAAAGACTTTTTGTTTCCTCTTTTCTGTTTTTTTTTCCAAGTTTTTGTACCTAGATCTAAGCTACTTTACTTGTTTTACAGAACTGCTATTTATAATCATACAACTGCCAAATCATAAACTCCATGTTTTATCTAAATTCTTTGCTTTCCCTGGTGTCTAGCACAGATTCTGTGCACAGAAAAGGCATTTAATATGTTTACATTAAACCTCTTCCAGGGCTATTTACATTTTAAAAGAGTCAATAGTCAAATACTGTGCTAAACTCTGGGAATACAAAAAAGAGAAAAGTCAGTCCTTGCCCTCACTATCTAATGGAGACAACAAGCTTATGGTACAATCAAGCTTTGTACAGGATAAATAGGGGAAAAAAAAAAAGAAGGAAAGCACTAGAATTAAGATTGGTTGGAGAAGGCTTCCTGTAGAAGATGGGATTTTTGTTGGTATGTAAAGGAAGCCTATAGATAAAGATGAGAAAGGGAAGCATTCTCGACATGGGGTAGAGTCAGAAAAAAAATGCCCCAAGCCAAGATATGGAGTGTCTTATTCTTGAAACAATCAAGGAGGCCAGTGTCACTGGATGAAAGAATATATGTTAGTGAGTATGGTATGAGGAGACTGGAGAGGTTGGAGAAGGTTAGGTTATGAAGGGCTTTGCATGCTGAATGGAGCATTTAGTTTTTTATCTTGGTGGTGATAGAGAACCACTGGAGTTTATTGAGTAAGGGGTAACATAGACCTGTGCTTTAGAAAACTCATTTTGGTAGCTGAATAGAAAATAGATTGGAATGGAGAGAGACTTGAGGGCGGCTGAACAACCAGCAGGCTATTGTAGTAGTCCCGGCATGAGGTGATGAGGGACCTGCATTAGTGTGTTGACAGTGTCAATGGAGAGAAAGGAGCCATTTTGAGAGATGTTGCAAAGGTGGAATTGATAGATCTTGGCAACAGATTGGATATAGAAGGTGAGAGATGGTGAAGAGTCAAGAATGATACCTAGGTTGCAAGCCTACGGGATTGGGAGTGGTTACCCTCTACAGTAATAGTAAAGTTAAGAGATGGAAAGGACTTAAGGGGAAAAGATAATGTTTGGTTTTACATATGTTGAGTTTAAGATGCCCACTGGACATCTCGTTCAATTGAAATGTCAGAAAAGCATTTGGAGATTCAATATTGGAGGTTGGCAAGAGAAATTTGGGCAAGATAGGCAGATTTGAGAATCATCAGTATAGGTAGAGATGGTATTTAAATCCTTGGGAGCTGGTGAGATCACCAGGTAAAGAAGTATAGAGAGAGAACAGAAGAGAACCCAGGACAGAACCCTGTGGGACATCTGTGGTTACAGAGCTTGATCTGATGAAGATCCAGGAAAGCAGACTGAGAAGGAGGTCAGAAAGGTTGGAGGAAAACCAGGAATCAGAGTGGTATCTGGAAAACCTAGAGTGAAGAGAGCATCAAGGAGGAGAGGATGACCAACAATGTCGGAGGCTGCAGAGAAGCTTAGGAGATTGAGCATTGAGAAAAGCTCTTTGGATTTGGCAATCAGATCATTGGTAACTGGAGAGAGCAGTTTCAATGGAAAGATGAGGTCAGAAATCAGATTATAAGGGGCTAAGAAAAGAATGAGGGTAGAGAAAGCAGAGGCACCTATTAGAGATGGCCTTTTCAAAGAGGTTAGCCACGAAGAGCAAAAGAAACGTAGGATGATAGTGGGGATAGCAGGATCAAGTGATGGTTCTTTATAGGATGTGGAAGATGTTCTTTGCAACATCTCTCAAATATGCCCCCTTCTCTAACAGTGCCACCACACTAGGGCAGGCCCTCTTCACTTCATACCTGGATAATTGCAATAGCCTGCTACTGGGTCTGCTTACCTTATTGCTACCCACTCCAATTCATCCATTCATTCATCCATCAGTGATTTTTCTAGATTACAGGTTCAATCACATGCAC